CCACAATTAATTGTTATTAATAACTTGTGAATGAATCATTTGTAATTAATAATCCACATCCAACGATAATTATTATTTTCTTGTGCATAAAGATGTCTCCACACACACGTGTGTATATATATAAAAAAATAAATATATGTACATACGTCATGTACCAAGTATTTCGTTCAGGAAAATCTACATGTCTTGAGATTAAGTTAATTAACCTTTTCTTCTTCTTCTTCTTCATTTTTTTATGGCTTATAAGGCGAGGAGTTTCAACAAAAATCAGCTCCACTTAGGTGTTTAGTTTTAATAAACGGAAAATCAAAGTCAGGAAAATAGAATATTATAACGCCCTCCAGAATTAAACTTGTTTAATTATGACAATTATAGTTTATTAGTGTGCCTAAATTGATTTCTTAATTAATCATGAGCTTTTAAATTTATTTTTAGTATTTGCAGTTTCACCCCCTATTTATTTTATTTATTTTTCATAATTTTCTTTTCCTTCTATTTCTCCTTTTCTTTTTCCTTTTCCTTTTTTCCTTTTTTTTTCCTTTCCCTTCCTCACGTTACTCTCTCTGTCTCGACACTCTCTCTCTTCCCTCTCTCAATCTCCTGAGCTCTCTCTCCTTCTCCCGTTCATCTCTCCCTCTCTCTCAAAGTTTTCTTTCTCAAGGGCCGGATTTAAACCAAAAACGGAGGTTTCTAAGAGGTTTTCAACATCAAAGTTTGGATCAAGATAAAACTCTTTGAAACTTACTTTAGATTTTCGGATTTAGCTTTGTGAAACTCATTTTAGTCGAGTTTGGTGATTTTTGGTTTAAATTTTGTTTTTAAATGGAATCCGAATGGGATTTGGTGAAACCTTGATGAAAAATTGGGGGCTTTTGATTCTTTGGACCCTATTTGTTGATTTGAAACTGGATCTATACATTTTCCTTGAGAATATGTCAAAATCGGACCCAAAATTACAGGTTTTGGCTTTGTTCCTCGCGAATCAGCCATTGGTGGCCCTGGAAATTCTTCCCCACCGGTTGACCGGTCCGGTCGACCGGTCACCCTTCCATAGGTCGACCGATTCGGTCGACCGGTCACCTCTCCACCAGCTGACCGGTGGAGTTACACTCCTCTGTCACCGGTCGACCGGTTCCCACTGAAACCGACCCTAAACAGCCTAGAAAACCCTGTTTTGACCCCGAACTTGATGTGGGATTGACCTAACCTCATTTGAGAACTCAAAAATGAGTGGATTAGCCACATGAATCCTTATTTTCCATTCGATTCTCCGGAATGAATCTCTATCTACAAAGAATCATAATTTGAATTAAGAATTGTTTATGAACATTGATTTTGAACTATAGCATGCTAATATGATACAATTGCATCTAATTAAACGAGAATGTTTGATGAGAAGGGTCAAACTCTAAATTGTTGATTTTGATGGAAAAGATAGTGGCACGATTCGAATTGGAGCTTCAAAGGCAAGCGGAGCTAGGGCTACGTGAAGACAGCCACAGGTTTGATATCCAAAAGGTAGGATATTCTTGTTCATATCCTTGTTAGCCTTACTTTAAATGATTTTGGCCAATGAAAATGTTTTAGAACAAAACATGTTTAAAGAAAATGATTTTAAAGAAATAGCATGAGAATGCTATTAAGTTTTCCAATGATTTTGGAAATGAGGTTTCAAAGGGTATTATTTCTTAAAATGAATTATCTTAAGGAATGATACAATGCATGGTGGCCTCAGAGATCGGGATGTGGGAATCGCATCCTTGGGGGCAGGTCCCGAAACCCGTACGGATCCACTTCTTGTTTAGTGGAATTATGGCTCTACACTTTTCATAGACTGACATTTTTACCGCTTCTTGTTTAATGGTATGATGAGCTGCACACTTTCATTATACAGATATTTTCTACTGTGAGTATTTCCTTTTCTAAAAAGGGATGATCGGTCCCGGGTATATATCTTCGGACCGTGAGTACCATTATTTTAAATGCTTTATAAAATTATATCCTACTGAGCATTTCGCTCACCTTTCCCTGTTTTTAAATGTATTAAACCCCTCCAGGCGACGCGAGGAGTAGTGCGGAGTAGGTAGCTACTACCGGTGACGTGGACTTGACCTTGGAAAGTGAAGAGTTATCTTTCCTTTTATCTTTTATTTTAAGGCATGTATAAAAGATTATGGATTGTAAACTTAAATATTACTAGACTGTGGTTGATGTCACACTTACTTTTGTTTATATTCATGTATGCTAAACACCTGTCGAAATTCCTGACTTGATACCAGGGACGTGGTTTTAAACTGGTTTGGTTGGAAATTCCACCACCTTTCTTGAAATTGAATTTCTCCTGAATGAAAAGGGGGCTCGTTTGGAAATACCTGGACGTTTTGGATTTGAAAGGAATTAAAATATTTACTAATCACTCTCTTAAACAGGTTTAAATTTCTAAACAAGCCTCCACGTCACTAACCCCAGTTTGGGGGTGTGACAAATATATTGCAATTTTAAAACAAAATGATTGTCAACATGTTTCTCCTTTCTTTATAGAGAAATTAATTAAAGTGGACGTACTTTTCCTAGTTAGACTTCAATAAACATTTAACATATATGGGAGTGCATGGGGAGAGAGAGCTCACCGTAAACCCTATGTGGAGGTGCCTTCAGGAGATCAAAGTCCAATAGAAAAAGAGAGAATATATACATATAAAAAAGAGGCTTTTGGGGGGGTGGGGGTTTTAAATGTTTGGCGGTCGAGAACGTCACATTATGTCGGAGATGAAGGGCTTTTGTAATTTGTATGGAATTAAGCTACTGCCTACTAGTTCCCGCAGATGCCGACAAATAATCTCAAATTTTTTTTCCCGATTGTGGCATTAATCCTATTATTCCCTGTCGAGTGTCGACTCGTCCAGTCCTAAGTTTACTTTCTTTCATTTATTTCATGTCTTTCTCCCCCAACTTGGACTATTTTGCTCCATGCTTCCATTTTATGAGGCATCCAACTTGCCACTACTCCTCCCCCTTTTTTGTCCAATATCCTATAAACTATTCCATCTTCACTACTTTTTATTTTTTATTTTTTTATTATTGTCATTCTTAACTTTTTTGTTGAAATTTTTTGAGCATACACCTTACAATGCAATCAGGTGTGGAGTTACTGTTAAATTATATATGTCTTCAAACACAGTATTGTAATATTGTAATTTAATCTAAGCTGATTCAAGACCCGTTTAGTAAACATGTTCAAAATTTGATGATTTGAATCTTTTTATTTTGAAATAGAAGGTTTGAAAAAAATGGTTCAAGTTTTGGTTCAAATCACTTAAAAAGAAGTGAGGATATAAACTCAGATTTATACCAAAAAAAAAAAAAAAATGGTTCAAAACATCGAATTGATAGTTTGAACCAAAACTTTAAAAAGCTTTGGCAAACACTGTTCAACCCACTTGAACTAGTTTAACAAATAGGCTCTTATCTTTTTGTAAATGACCATTGGATATTCGAACATCAAATGGTACTGTAGGATGAGAATTGAGTTTGAGGGAGCCATTGTATAAAAAACAATTCATATTTATCGCTTTAATATTGAAATACTAAGTTTTTCTATTTCGAATGAAATAAAAAGTTTTCACTTGTGGACCACACTAAGTCAATTTTGTTCAATTTGCTCCTGAATGGAAAAGATACAAACTAAATTTAAACTTTTTCTTCTTTCAATTGGGTAAGATGAAGATTGATTAGAAGTATTCTAAGTTTTATCCATGCTAACAACCTATTCAACATAATAATGAATATCATTATACGTTTTTAATCATCTTAAGAAGACACTAAATTAATCACGATATTGTTGATTTGTTAATTTGAAATTAATTTCAAACAAAAAAAGATATTACCGGATCAGTATGAATAAAAACTGTTATGCGTGTGTGTATAATCCTTTTGAATTCTATGGTATCCACTCCAACGTATATTTTTCATTTTAATTCGATTTTGATCAATTTTAACATTTAAAAACATATACTGCCTATATAAATACCCTACAGTAGGATAATTTTCTCTCCAAAATATTTATAAGTGCTCTATTATAGTAAATTTCACTGATTTATGGGTCCAACAATATGTGGGTCCTGAACATGTTGGGTTGTTCCTATGTGAAGATGTACTATATATCGAGGTTATCTTATCCCATCATGCTAATCACTACGTTTTGCCACCTGGTATGGTATTACGATTATTGCATTTATTATCTACTTACTGAACTGGTACGATAATTAAAATTATAACTAGAAAATGTACTCTTATACCTATTTTTTATTATAGCATTAATAATTTTTACTTAATTTGAAGTAAAAAAAGAAAAAAGAAAAAAAGAGACCCACTATTTAAGAAATAAAATTTTGTAGAAAGACTTTGTGCCCTAGCACATGATTTTTATTTATTTATTTACAAGTCGCGCTAGCAATTCCTTTTCCTTGTTTCTGTTTTTACTGAGCAGTGGTTTCAGTCTCTCTTTACTTTTACCAAAAATGACAAACGTATCAAAAGGGTTTTTCTGATCAACATATATAAAGGATAAAAAAAATAAAAATAAAAATAAACGAGAGCAGGTAGTGGAATATGATAAAATTCCCATGTCAGAATGATGTGAGAGGAAAAGATGATTTAGAGGCACAATAATTCAGCAGTAAAAAAACTGTAAATACACATTTTATCTCTTTTGAATGAAAAAAAAAAAGCTAAACGGTAAGGATAGGGTTATAGAAGAGAGAATAGAATAGACAGAGATTTCACAAAATGGAAAGCATACGAAAGCCTATCGAGTAAGGCTAAGAGTAAGACACCTCTTTTTCTGCAGGCGGGTAATTGATGACCACACTCTCCTCCCCACTCTTATCTTCTCCTCTCTAAAGACTTCTATCTTCAAAACCAAAAAAAAATATTTAAAAAAAAAAATCCAAAAGCATAATTAAACTGATTAGATAAAAATCATCAGCGTAATATATATACAGGCAAAGAGAGATAAAGAGAGAGATAAAAGAAATTAGAAAAAGGAAAATAAAAAGATTAGCGGTGGAAGTGTTTTGGCTGAGCAACCATGTAGATCTTTGCCATTAGGTGGTAAGAGAGAAAAGCTTAACGTAAATCAAAAAAGGAAAAGTAAGAGAAGAAAGAGCAAGCCTTGCAGCCAGCTGAGCTATCTACTACTGGAAATGGAATTCGACGAGCACGACGACCCAGATGAGGAAATGGAGATCCCGACCGTCCTACCGCCAGGCTATGACTCCTCCTCCGCCGCAGCCGCCGCCAGAACCATCAACAAATCCGAGGTTGTTGGAGGCGGCGGTGGTGGCGCGTCGAGCAACTCGAGGAAGAACTCCGGTGGGGTGAGGTACAGAGAGTGCCTGAAGAACCACGCCGTGAATATCGGCGGACACGCCGTCGACGGCTGCTGCGAGTTCATGGCGGCGGGCGAGGAGGGCACCATCGACGCCCTCAAGTGCGCCGCCTGCAACTGCCACCGCAACTTCCACCGCAAGGAGATCAGCGATTCTTCCTCCCCCGGCGCCGCCGCCGCCGCCTCGGACCACCCCAACTACCTCTACCACCACCACCATCACCAGAACTTCCCCGGCGGTTACTACCGGTCGCCGCCTCCGCCGTCGGGGTACCTCCACGTGCGGCCGCTGGCGCTCCCCGGGGTTTGCGGAGGCGGCCGGGAGGAGGGGGAGGACCACATGTCGAATCCAAGCAGCAGCGGAGGAGGCGGAGGCGGAGGAGGAGGGTCGAGTAGTAAAAAAAGATTTCGGACGAAGTTCACGCAGGAGCAGAAGGAGAAGATGCTGGCGTTTGCGGAGAGCGTGGGGTGGCGGATCCAGAAGCACGATGAGGCGGCGGTGGAGCAATTCTGCGCGGAGACCGGGGTGAGAAGGCCGGTTCTCAAGGTGTGGATGCACAACAACAAGCATACCCTCGGTAAGAAACCCTAACGCCAAAAAAATTCCAAACAAAAAAATATATATATAAATAATAGTATGGATTTTGATCAATTAGCTTAGCTAGCTAGCTCAATTTGTTGTTGCACTTTGCACCACATGATGAGTATTGAATGGAAAATATGGCTGGAGAGTAGTACTACAACAAATACTACTACTACTACTACCACCAAGTAATATTGATGAGGATGGTGATGACCAACTTGGAGGAGGAGAAAATACTACTACTGGTGGAGCGTGGAAAAATTTGTACTGTGAATTGATGATCAGTACTACTACTTCTACTACTACTTTTACTAATGATCTAACTAGGGTTTTCTTCTTCTTCTTCTTCTTCTTTTTAATTTATTTTTTAGTTTATTATCACTTTGGGTTAATTAGCAGTTTCTATTAATTTATTTTTCTGGATCTCTTCTTCATCTTAAGCTAGCTGGACTTCTTCTGGGTTATTATTGTCAGTGGATATACTATATGTCATCATTGTTGCTGATGAGCAATTTTTTTTTAACTCCTTTTTGTTTTGCCCAACTGCTAATTCAGTCTTTGATTTTGAGCTTTCAATTATATATCATATTGTTGGAAACCCTATTTTGTTTGGAAAAAGCAATTTAGGGTTCAACGATTAATCTGGCCAGAAAATTGTAATTGAACTAGCTTCGCTATAGCTTGGTCCACCTCCATTTTTGGGGCTTTAATTCGATTATGTTCATTATTTTATGAGACTCAGTTTACAGCTTTTGATAATCATCAATACTAGGAGAGAGGAAATTAATGATGGTAAAGGAAAAACTAAAGAATGGAATCAAATGAAAAATTCTAATTAAATATTAGAATTGGTAGTCAAATTAAACCAAAGAAATTACTACCAATCGAGAAAATTATAAAATACCCAGTAGTAGAATCAAACGAATAACGGCAAACATGCAAAGCTGCATTTATTTTTCTTTTCTTGTATTCACATGTGTCATCTTCATTCCGGATCTTCTTCCATATCACCGCTTTAGCTTTTACTGTGTATATATGTGTGTATTTATATATACATACAAACATCATGTTTCTCTCTCATATTTAATATTCAGTCCAACCTCCATTTGTATTCTCAGAGATTTCGAGGTAATGAATTATAAATATATATATATATATATATATATATATTATATATCACTAGAAATTAGGTCGATCGAGCAAATATATACATGCATCAGTTTATCTGTATACATTTTATCAGAGAATTGCCTACCTTTTCTTTCTCATTACTCAATTTGCTTAACTTTTTGGCCTTTTGGTATTAAATTTTTACTTTTTTCCAAAAAAAACTTTCAGATTCTTCGTCATGAAATAATTTAATGCTTTTCAAAAGAGAAAAAAAAAAATAGTAATGCTCTCTACTCACTCTCTGAAACTGCAGTCTTCTGTCTTAATCACAGCCACTGATTTCCTGTCCTTTCTTTTGTTGCTTTTTATTCTGCCTTCAGATCTCATCCTATTCATCTTCTTCTTTCTTGTTGTTCCTTATACAGGGAATTCATGAGAAAATGCATTGTTGAATGAGCCATGAATAGCAATAAGAAATCTAATTCAGGCTCATTTTAATACAATTTTTCATGTTCACTGTATATATGAATCTAAAATTTACTTGGCACAAGTTTTCTTTTTCTTTTTTTTTTTTCTTTTTTTTTTTTGTGTGTTGAAATCCACATGTTTTCTTTTTCAGGGTTTTGTGGTAATTAAAGATTTTCATTTTTTTTTACTAGTGTTTTTTTATACTATTAGTTCCTAAGGTATAGATATTTAAATGTTTTGGTTTTTAATTTTTTTGCTAAATCATTTCTTGATTTTTCTCTATATGTTAATTCTTGGGACCAATTGACGATGGATACTTTTTTTGCCCCCCTATTTAACGCACTTAATCATGTAACCATCATGTATTTGAATGTATAGAAACATTTTAGGAGAAAGGTTCTCTTTATTGCTTTTACAAACGCTTAAAACTTAGAATTATTTTCTTGTCTTTATATTTTTTTTGTTGAAATTCAATATTGTCAATCGTTAATTTTCTGAAAATCCTTTTTAAAAATATAAAGTAAAACCAAAAATAGATATATTCAGTTGAATTAATTTTACCATTGATTTTACTTTTAAAAACAAAAAATAAAGAAAGTTGATACCAAACAAGTTGAGACGTCCACTAGATAACCTGTTTGCAGAGAATATTGAAACACCTCAAAGAACGTAGTGGATGGAAACAATTGATTAAGAAAACTCATCATGCATAGTTTGATTATTCTGTAGGAGCAGTGTTTTAGCCTGTAGGTGAACATGCTCAAAGTTATAGTGCATTAATAAAATTTATTTATTTATTTATTAATATTATTATTATATCATTGTGTTTGTTTGAAATTGAAAGGGAGGAAAAGAAGCAGATCAAGGATGAGACGCAAAATTCTAATTTTACTTGCTAGGGTAAACTACCTTTTGTACAAAACGATTTATGGAAGGATGATTGTAATTTTCTTTTTTTTTTTGGGATGATGATTGTATAATTTATATTATATAAAAAACATTCTCTTTTTATTTGTCATTCAATTTTGAAAGATTTGTTTTTTTAAGCAGATGTTCCAGAGAGGAATATAACACTTTTTGTAACACTGACAATTAACTATAATGATTATGTGCAGAAACGTCAAAGTAATCAAGTAAGAAATAATAGTGCAGAAATACAAAAAAAAATCAGGAATTGGTATCGCGGTTCGATACGAATACCTACATTCTCGGGACCACACTCAGACAGTGAACGATCCACTAAGATAAAATAATTACAAACACCACTCGATTTTACACACTCAAATGCTCCCTCCTTGATGCTTTCGCCGATGTGGAGAATCCTCATCGGCGAACTCCCTTTGACTAGCAATGGACTTTCTCTCAAAAGCAACAAATCCTTCTCCCGAAGAACAATCTTCACACAAACAGCAACAAAACTCATACACAGAGCTCACTCTAAAAATATTTTTCTGTCAATACAAGCCACACGCCCAAATTCAACACACCTAACCAAAAGATACGTGCAGCACCATACACCATGCATAGACTTTTTCTATGTATTTTTTACGATAATTGCATGCCAAGTGAGCTGCAAAAACACATCTTAAAGAAGACTTTTTAATATCACAAGAATCACTCAAAACAGTCACCACAATTCTTTCAAAATAAATCTCCCAAGACTGTGCAAAGGACCTGGACACAAAAGAGATCAAATTCGGATTACACAACCCTCACACATTCTTTTTAGTGCAAGACTTCCTTTTAAAACACAAATCTGAATCACACAAATAAATACCATATTCAGATTTAGCATCAATCAAATCCGAGAACTATCATGCAAATTCTAGACCGAATTTCCTTAGAAATTAAGCAGTCCATGCCTTCTCTTCGAAGTCAAAATCCGAAACTTTCTAAAAGCACCGCAATCTCAGATTCTCAATCAATCACAGCCACCATGTTTCCAAAATAACTCCCACGAAATCCTCTTCAGAAACAAATCAATTAAGCTAAAAATATTGTAGAACCAAATCGGCCAAAACACCAAATCTACTCCTTTCCAAGTAAAGCTGAGAAGACCAATTTAATCCTTTCTAAAATTGAAGTAAAATAATTTTTTCTCCTCCTCATAACTCGATCCTCAAATCTGCACCATGATCATGTAATTCCTGTTTTTGAATTTACAGACATGTTGCCAAAACATGCCAACTAAACTAAATACCTAACAAATTTTATCCTGAATTTATTTATCCTTCAATTAAGTACTGCATAAACATGTTAAACTTCATGGCTCTCGCGATATAATATACATAATTAGATTGTTGACACACGCAAATTACACACAGACACAATACATATTTAACAAAGTTAGTTTCAGTATAATATCATAAAAATAAAATTAGTACATTGAACATTGATCATGCAAGGATTAAGCCACGATTGATCATGCAATCACGACGCTGCTGGTTCGACAAGCCCTAAAATTTCTACTTCGTCAATTTTCTTTTCCCTGTTCAATTTTTCTCTTTACTAAACAATTCATCGATTCTAGTACATGTTTCTTGGCCTTAAATATCCCCTCCTGCCAACTTTTTTTACTCCACTAAATTTATAAGCGACAAAGTTTTTTTTTTTTTTTTTTTTTTTTACGATTTCAGAAATTAATATACGGGGCTGAAAATCATAAACATTGACAGAATATTACTTATGAACATTTCGTATCATGATTGTTTGGAGCTTTGTCAGAGATTAAATATATGTCAATTGTGAGAGTTTTTTTGGGGAATGTCTTTTCAAGTACTGAAACTCTGTAATTTTAAGCGCGTTGGCACAGGCCCAACTTTTTCAAAATAAAAAAATAAAAAAATATATATGGCCCCAGTCTATGTACAAATTAAGTCGACTATTTTTTTCTCTTACTTTTATTAAGTCGTCCATTATTGATCATGAATTTACTTTAGCAATAATATTACTTGGCCAATCCTTAGCTTTAGGTTAGACTTCATATGTCAAGCTATGGATTGCCCAGTCTTTAGGTTTCTTGTTCTTGGTTTAATGCCCATCAGGGTCGTTTTTCTTCCTACATTGTGTGTGTACACATATATGTGTCTATATATATATATATATATATTATTTTGTCTAATACTATTGAGTGGGAGACTTGACATGGGATGATATTTTTGATGTCAACTTAGTTGAAATTCGTTAGTTTTTTTCTAATGTCAATTGCGCTCTCTTTTTATTTTTTTTAAGGAAAAAATATATGGGTAGGAGAGGAAAATATTTAAGTTGGAGAAAAGCTAATTATACATATTCTGAATGTACCGAGATGATGTCAGATATTAGTTACTCCGCCTATGAAAATCTGTCGTGAAAAGTTATTAATACACGTTATCTTATATTTTATAAGTGAACGAATACAAGTTTTGTAATGAACATATATATATATATATATAGTAATTAATATTCATTATCTTAAGGGGGGAGTGTATTTTGACCTTCTTTGTAAACGTACGTTGTTTGATTTGTTTTCTTCTACTTGGAAAACACAACCGTACTTGCTTTCATTCAATAGTATTATCATTACACTGACAGAAACGTTTTATTTGATCGGTAGACGCATAATTTTCATTAATTTGCTCACTTTACACGTTTCCCTGTCTTTTTCTTTTTCTTTTTCTTTTCTCATTTTCTCTCTGATATAATTCTTCAAACTCTCGTTTATGTTACGTGTGTAAGTGGTCGCTTGATTGCTTCTTACGGTGCACTTTTAATGCTCTATTTCTTTATTTCTCATTTCCTCTTTAACGCTCTATTCCGGGGATTATGATAACTCAAGTTTTATAGGTTTAAAATAAAACAATAGCTTACAATAATATCACGGGTTTAAAATGAATTAAAACAATAAAACATTTTCCTTTTTGCATTAAAGAATTCGATGATTATTTCCATTGTGGAGAATATCCCACAGAACATGTGATGTCAGATGCGTGGCAAGACTTAATCATGTAAAATCAACTTTACAATATTGTGTATGTTTCATGATCTTCACACACAAAGACACGTACTTATATATACATATACATATGTATTATTGACCATTGCATAATTATCTGGACTTCTTAAATCTGGCCCACACAGCTTTTAGAATAATATGTTCAAATATATTATACATGTAAATTGTATATACACATGACATATATAAAAGTAAATTTATTTCTGTGTGTTTATTTGAGCACATATACAAATATAACTAGCGAGATATATATGTAGGCACGCTTTACTTTTTTTCGTTGATCTCACTAAATTCAATTCAATTCTTAATCGATTCTCTGGGTTAATAGGTGGTTTTAGGAGCTCTCAAATTCAAATCTAGAGG